AATACTCTCTGCGTTCATGGCTATTCAAGCTCATCACCTTCCTTCTACTGTCTTCTTCCTCAACGGACAAGAAGGGAATGATTTTTCGCCGGAGATGCAAAAATCGATCAACGCCGGTTTGTATTCTAGAATTTACGAATCGATCCGGTTTATCTTAATCGGTTTATCTCAAGAAACTAATCGGTTTTTTTATATTTTGTGGTCGGAAAAAAAAATAGAGGTTGGTACAAGAAAGCGAGCGAGAGAAGTTTCATCGGTGATTGATTTAGAAATCACGGCGGTTCCGATGAACCCTCCGCCGTCAACTCCGCCGCAGTTTATCGGACGTCGACAACAAACTCCGAATGTAGTATCCACCGGTCTTCGTTTGTCTCGTGAACAGTCTCTGAATCGAGAACTACGGTTATCGTCTTTTCCGATGTTAACCGGAGATCTCGCCGGAGAAATCAACCGTCAATCAGATGAATTAGATAGATTCCTTCAATCCCAGGTGACTATTTTTTATAAATTAAAAAACCTTTAATTACCATTCCAAAATTATCACCAAAGGATTCGTAAAAAATTTAGGAAATGGAATAAAAATATTAAATTGATTTAGAAACACTTACTTTTAGGATCATTTCTTGAATTTAAAGCTAATGTGATAGGTTTCTTTTGGAATTATTCAATTATGGTTAGAATTTGGAAACAAAAGTATACGTACAACATAATATTTTTGAGAATCGTCCCTATTTTTGAAATTAAAATTCAATTTTTTTTGTTAATATATAAAGGGAGAGCAGATGAGGCGCATGTTAGCTGAGAACAGCGAGAGACACTATCGTGAGCTTCTGAGAACAACAGAGGAATCGGTAAGGAGGAGACTAAAAGAGAAAGAAGCAGAGATCGAGAAAGCCACGCGTCGTCACGCGGAGCTTGAAGCACGTGCGTCGCAGATCGAGGCAGAGTCACGTGCTTGGCAAGTGAGAGCGTCGGCGAGAGAAGCCGAAGCGACGTCGTTACAAGCTCAACTGCAGCAAGCCGTCGGATTTAAATCGGTGGAACCAAAATCGGAAAACGTAGACGGTGTCGATGAAGCCGAAGACGCCGAATCAGCTTACGTGGATCCTGATCGGATCGAATTGATCGGACCGGGTTGTAGAATTTGCCGGCGAAGATCGGCGACGGTGCTGGCTTTGCCGTGTCGGCATTTGGTTCTGTGTAAAGGATGCGACGGTTCTGTGCGAGTTTGTCCGCTTTGTCTTAGCTCGAAGAATTCAAGCGTTGAGGTTTACTTTTCTTAATGGGCCTTTCGTTAATGGGCTTATCAGGCTCATATCGTTGGCGTTTTATTTAATTAAAAAAAAAACAAA